GGCAAAAATCTTATCTAGCTTTTTACGGGCTACAGTGCTTGGAGTTTTTATACAGTTTTAGGTGCTAGTTTATCTTGGAGACTCATATGGACTGGGTTTCTTTGTAAAAGATTGTTACTTTGACCTTCAAGGACATTAAGTCCTTTTTTCCCCTCCCTTTTAAAACTTCATGTCCTGTTTATACTCTCTTTCTTATCAAACCAAAAATGAATAAATAACTATAAATACGTGTAATTGGATCCACAATTTGTACGAGGGACTTGATATCCTTAATTATGTTGCATTATGGTTTCTGCAAACATCCACATTTTAAAAAGTAGTTATTTAAAAAGCTAATATGTCTTACCTACTGAGCCTCTCTATTAGTTATGACACAAACTTTGTATGACTTCTGCCTGTTCATGGTGCTCTATTGCTTTTGATGGCCCCCTACTCATGCATTTTCAATGTATTTTTTAGCTGGAGAATTGAAAGTTGGTTTGCTTATCTTACCCTTTTTTTTAAAGGGGTTGGAGTTACACTCTGCATTGAGAAAGCCTTAGCTGAGGCTGGTCTTGCCAAGGAAGATATCAATTATATAAATGCACATGCTACATCAACTCCAAATGGTGATCTTAAGGAATACCAAGCCTTGGTTCGCTGTTTTGGTGATAATCCTGAGGTACATTTTTTTATTTTTTATATTTCCTCTTTTGCAGTGTAATCAGATTATTTATTTAATAAGCTTTTTTCCCATACACAGGTGAGAATAAACTCTTCAAAGTCCATGACTGGCCACCTTCTTGGAGCAGCTGGTGGTATTGAAGCTGTTGCAACTGTACAGGTATTGTTGGACTAGTAATCTCATGCGATCTAATTTGCAACATGGCTTGTTCTTGACCTTCAGTGGTTAAAAAGAACAGAAAGTCTGACCACACCCCCCCCCCTCTCCTCTCTCTCCACATGGGGAGAGGAATATGACTATTTGGTTGGATCTTGGCTAAAAATGTAACTTAATTGGAATTATAATAGTGTAAAACAATGGCCATTTTTTTTTGCTTGATATTCATCCGCTAAAACAAGACAATCGCTTAATTCTTGCTTGGTTGACATGAAAATTATGGGAATTAGAATTTCCTAAGAATTAGAAGATTGTGGTATTGTTTGGCTGGCAAATACATGGGAAGTCACTTTCCTAGGGTGTCCCACTTCCCACAAAATGGAAGAAGTTGCTTACCTTAATCCTCCTAGGTTAATGCAACTAGGAAGTTCTACTTCTCATGTGGCCATGTTTATCCAAACAACATTTCTCACTTCCTAGGAAAACCTTCTTGTAAATTTTACCTCCTATGTTCAAACAAACGGCCATTTGGTAGCAAAGAAAAATGTTGTTTGGTTGAATGTGGGAAGTAGATTTCTGCACAGGAAGTTTCACTTACCTAGGGAGACTTAGGTAAGAGATTTTTCAATTTTTGTGGGAAGTGGGACTTTATAAGTGTCACTTCCCATGTTTTGGCCAACTAATCAATGCCCCAATCTTCCACTATCTAGGATGTTTAATCTCCCATGATTTTCATATCAACCAAACAAGCACCCTTTTTTTTTGTTGGCTATTAGCATCATCTGTATTTTGCCTGGTCTTCTAACAGAAAACAGTTTACCAGTATCAACGTTATAGTTCCTCATAGTGGCAAAATATTTTTAAGATTTGGTTTCCTTGGTCATATTGATGAAGATTGTCACTGTTTTTCTAAAGGTGCTTTATAGTGATTCCGAACAAATGATTTTCGAAACTCGATTGCTTGGTCATATTAACTCGAACCTTCATGTTCCTCTTTTACAATCATTTAACACATATCTCCTTATTTTTTGGTCACCCAACCAGATGATTGGAAAAAAGTCTTCCATTCGAACCTATCTGGCTAAGTGCCACTTAACTAATGCTTGATATGTGTGTTGTAACAGGCAATACGGACAGGATGGCTACATCCAAATGTCAACCTTGAAAATCCAGATGAAGGCGTGGTATATATATTTTTTTTCAGTCGCTGCTATATATTTTATAGCTTGATTCAGTGACTTGTATTTTGTCTTATAAGATGTTGCCTGCATCCACTATGAATTCTGCATTACGAGTTGTGCTGGAATGTGATGGCTGTGAAGTGTGGATAATGATTTGTCTGTCTTAAATTCTTATTTATCTTCATTGTTGCTTTAATGATCTGTTGTGCCAAGAGACAGCGTGGTGCTTATCCAACTACACTTGACTACTTGAGCATGCTCATTTTCTGCTCTTCTTGCCATTAATGTTGTTTTTTAGACTTGATGAGTATTGGTTGGCATGAGTTGTAAATTTGTTACTATGTTCCGTACCATTGTATCATCTAACTTGAAGGTGCTCAAACCAGGATACTAAGTTGCTCGTTGGCCCAGAGAAAGAAAGAATGGATGTCAAAGCAGCTTTGTCCAATTCATTTGGGTTTGGTGGACAGAATTCTTCAATTGTATTTGCTCCTTACAAGTAGATCATTTTTGCTACCGTAGCCACACTTAATAATGGTGCTGATTATATCAGGTTTGCTGCTTTTCTAAGTGCTTTATAACTGTATAGAATATAGATCCGTAGTTTTTTTTTTTTTTTTTTTTTTTTTTTTTTTTTTTTTTGGTTTGGTTAGAAGCATCTGTCTAAAAATGTGGAGAGACACACACGTAAATCTAGTTTGGTTTGCAACTGAAAAGCTTTGGAAACATGTGAAACTTTCTGTATCTTACAAGTATTGGATGACATTTTTTTTTTTCTTAATTAATCACTGTTTATAGGATGTGCATGGGAACTTTATGCTGTTCCACATACTGTCATAAAATCGATGTGGAATCTTAATTAACTTAGTTCTTAATAATGCAGTTAATAAAATCATGTTAATATATTTACAAATGTGTTCAATGAGTGATGTGTTGCATCATAATGATGCTGAAAAATATTTAATTTTATTCTATTAGAAATGCACTTAGTCCTTAAAAGATTCAAGAGGTTTCCAATTTATACGTTAAAACATAATCTGATACCATGTTCATGCTTCTCTACAGGGGTGCGAATTGATAGTTTGCTATGCCATGATACACAATGCAGATTGCAAATATCTAACCTTGCATTCCTAGAAGGCATATAGATTGGCAGAAGTTTGTAATGTGATGCTTTACATAAAAGCATGCTCAATATGAGGGAAAGTTAGATGCAGCCTGCTGGCGACAAGAGGACTTGCTTCTGGAGCAGATTTATTGTCACTCACCATATTTGGTAGTTCATACCGCTCCACAAGATATGAATATCTGCTACATAAAACTGCTGTTGTTTTGTTGATGTACAAGTGTAATAGAATGGGTTTTGATATCCATAGCGAGTTTTAGAATAGAATTTTACATTCCAGTTAGTTACTGATGAATGTTGAGACTTTTCTATCATTGCCATTGATGCTCAAAGCACATGTGCGATCTCTCAATCTTTCCTTGACATGAAGAAGTTGGAGAGGTGCTGCACTTATTTGATGCATCTGCTGTTGGGTAGATTTAGGTTCAATAGTGGTGTCAAATAGTGTATTTTTTTTTTTATCTTCTGAATTGATAACTGAAACAAAGGTGCATGCTGTTTATTCATGCTATATCTACAAGCAAGTTGAACATTGATACACTATTGGTTGATACTCGTAATTTGAATTGTTAAGCCACATTTAACACTCTGCAAGCCTTGAATTTTAGGGTGAGATTTTTATTATTCCGCTCACCCGATTTTCAGTATCAAAAGTTTTTAAAGGGATTATTAAAAAAAAAAAAAAGTTTTTTAAGCGATTATTAAAAAAAAAAAAGTTTTTAAAGCAAATTCTAGCTGTCCATATATATAATAGCTGTGATCAGATGAACATCTAATCCTCATTTGCAATATAAAATAGAAAAAATCTATTAAAAAAAATAATAATAATAAACCCTTAACCTGCAAAAAAAAAATAAAGTTCAAATTTTTTGTTCATCTGATTTCTAAATCCAGACCAAAGGTGATAATTTCAATGTGAATGTACTTTAAATGGAGTTGTTTTGATGGGGTTCAAGGGTAGAACACTAGAACTGATGGCTAGTTAACTATAGGATCATTATTTTCGTATATTGAGATTCAAAGTTATGTGAGAAATAATCTAAGCTAGTAGCTTGACATTATTTTGTATGAGTTTGCTGTTAAGGTTGGTTTTGTTTTTTGTGGGATCCTAGCTTATTTTGGGTTTGCTTCTTTGTGAGATTGGAGCCGTTTCTTATTGGTAGCTTAGTCTTTCGGGGTGGCAGTTTAGGTTGTTTTAAAATTTTGGTGTTCACTGTACGTTTTGAGTCAGTCTTATTAATTCCTGTATTTCAAGTACTATATTGCATTTAAAGGGATGATTGAGATTGTATGCTCGTTGCCTTTTCTAATTTGTCTAAAAAAGATCAAATTGCTTAGCTTGTGCGTTTCAAGTATATTGCATTCTTGCTCGAGCTAGTCGGTATAAATCACTAATGTGGGGAAGAACTTTGAAATTATGTACCGGTATAAATCACTAATGTAGGGACATTTATATCCAGCATTGCTCACGAACACTTCGAGATAATTAGAACAGTTATAGTGAAGCAGAGTAGGGAAGAACTGAAATACTTGAATGACGAGAAAACGAAGATGATGAGAAATGACTTCTTAGGAGTACCATGAAATTTGAACTTAGTGAAGAAATCCAAAGTTTCATATTTTAACAAGGCATTTTAAAAACCTAATGACGTAATATCACTTAATGGATTACTGACTTCACAGCTGAATGAGTCGTATGATCACAAAACACAGTAGCTCAATCAGTATTGTGCTCCCATGAAAACATTAAACATTGCCCAGGACTTCAATATTTAATTAATTATACTGCACAAAATATAAAAATAAAATAAAGGAATAAATCAATTTATCATTGAATAAAATCATTCATTAATCAATTAATGACAAAAACAAATCATGAATTTACGTGACGTCAAAATTAGACTGCACTTCATTGTCGACTCATAAAATATGTGTACACTGTACAAGGGAGAAAAATAAAATAAATTCTTTTCAAAATTCCTATTTTTTTTCTATAAATAACACGAAAATTACAAAAAATTCATTAAAAGAATATTGAGCATTCTAAGCTATCTTTCATTTCTTATGAGCCTTTTTCACCTTGCTCTTCATGGAAAGTGCACTTGCAACACTCCCGCCTTCGAGCTTTTTCTTCAACTTAACAACACTACGCATACCCCTTCTAGCAGCAGCCCGGTGCTCAGGTCTACGGCTGAGCATCTTACGGTCCAGTGGCCAGTATGCATACGGCTCAAATTTGCCCTTCTTTTTCACATCTCCATGAGCCTTCTTACTAGCATACTCATTTCCAGTATAGGCCCATCCTGACTCAGATGTTTTTTTGCGCTTCTGGTCAGCCTTCTTTGATTTAGAAGAAACATAACTTCGAACATCAGTTTTATCTTCATCATATTCATAATTATCATCATAAGATTTTTCACTCTTGGGTTTTCCTTCCTCACGAATTATTAGTCGTCCATCCTCATCAAACTCGGGCTCATCTTCTGAATCAAGCTTCCTTTTCAGATTTCCAACAGAATGAATAGCTAGCCTTGTTTTACGCTGGTCCAGAAGATCAAGTGGTTCATCTTCTAGGTCAAGCGAGTCTCTTAATAAGCTCCTTCCAGACCTCGTTTTCCTTGACCTAAGAGAAATTTATTAAATTACGGTACAATGGTACATAAAAAGAATCTCTCTAAGTTAAAAATTATTTAAAATTATTCAAGAGAAACCCCAGTCCTCCATCCTCAGAAGCGGCAAACAGGTTGCAGTCATGTCTGGCTATATTCGAGTCTATTGAATATTAGGTATTATAGAATAAATGAATTTTGGCTGGGTCTTTCCAACTCAAGTAATTTGGGTATTGTTGTTTGTCAGGTCAAGAGAAACCAATTTAGTGCAGGCCGATAGAAAATAAACAGTGCATACTTCAGCACCTCATACATAAAAGATGAATTAGACTAATAAAATGCAAGATACCTTGACGAAGGCGCTTTTGATTTTAACTTGGAAGATAATCTGCTCCATCGACCAACAGATGTCCCAGCATCCATATCATCCCCATCAATAAACTCTTCATCAAAGTCAGAAAATATCTTTGTGTGACCCCATCCACTTTGCCTGCAAAGTACAGTCACACGCGTTAATCACAAGACAAGTTGGTATAGACCAACAGCGTCAAATAAAAAGTTGACCAATCATTACAATTCCTATTAAAGGAAAGAATGGTTACGTTCTCAACAATAACTATCATGCAATAACATCTACTCTATTCTTGTATCACTCTAGCTAGTACAGTAGTATTCATGTAAGATATGGGTATGTCTCAGTATCAAATTCAGCCATTTATAATTTCCATACTTTTGGTACAAAATGAAGTGTGAATTGTCCATACACAATAACATCTGCTACTATTGTTATTCTAGTAAGATCTCATATTACTGTGTTAGACAAGAGTATATGTCAAAGTAGAATATTCAGCCATTTTCAAATTTCCACGCTTTTGGTCCAAGTGTTTAGAATGTGACATAGGTACTTGAGGTGAAATGAAGCATCCAGGTGACATAATACTTGTTAGAGAAAGAGTGTACATAGCATTTGGCATTTCCCACATAACTTCTAATAATTTGCTTCAAGCTAGAGTTATGTTACACATGCATTTTCCAGAGAAGGATGAAAAATATAGCAATTGAAATTTCCCAAATATTGACAAGACATGTCAGAGTAAATTTCAACCCGTAAGCGCGCAAGCAATATGAAGAAAACAAAGGTGGAAAAACTTAAACCTGGACGTAGTTGCTTTTGACAGGTAGGAACTTGTCTCAGAATTGGCTGCCAACTTCCTTTCTTTCCGCTCTTTTATCTGGAAAGAACCAACAAGTAAGCAATCACAGACAAAAGAACAAACATCAGGTAATACACAGCAACTAAAAGAAAAGATTAAAAATTATATTCAACTTCGCACCTTGCGGATATTAGTAAGAAGTTTCATATGATCTTCTGGCATTACAGCTTTAATAGCATCAAGGCCACATTTCTTGACAAGCATCTCCAACAAGTGTTTAACTTAGCAATAGACGTGAAACCAAACTTATGAAGAGAGAGAGAGAGATGTTGATATAAGCTACTACAGTAATTCCTTTGATTTCGAAAGATCAATGTTGATACAATTCTCATCTGAAATATAAATGCTTTTGAAATAAGAAATTCCATTGAAACAAAAAAAATGAAGAGTTATAGTACATGGACTAAAAATCCAGCCAGATCCTCACTCCTCAAGGGACCCAAGGGTACAGTTATTAGATAGACAATTTCGATGGGGGTGAAAGGGAGGGCAGATGGCCTACTTTGCTAGCTTACGTGTACATATGAAGATGGAACTAGAGGAAAAGAGCTGGAGAGGATCCTAACAGCCCTATCTATCATAAATTCGAATGTACAGATCCAATATTTGACCCAATTACACTACCAATCTACTCCCTCCGTCCCATAATACTTGACACAGTTACCATTTTCGTCCGTCCCACAATACTTGACACGTTACTAAATATGGAATGGGACCACTAATAAAAAAAATACTCTTTTTGGGACCACAAACCCCAAAAACCAATTAAATCCTACATTTTCTCTCTCCTCACTACCCCCACTGTTTCGGGGTTTTCTGATGTCCTGCGGGAGAGTTACAATTCCGAGACTGGAACCGGACGCCTGTACCTGCAAAATAACGGAGACTCCTGAGAGCTCCGCCTCCAACGGTCAAGTTAGTACCTGATTAAGGAGTAATTAAAGCGGAAATTAAAGTAATAAGGTCTCTCTAGGTGAGAGTGTTTAATGTTGGTAATCTGCTTTGTTAGCGAGATCAGCCGGTTATTAGTGTGTTCCGTAACGTTTCTGTTCGGTTCTCCCTCCACTTAATGAGGATTAATTAAGTATTTATAGTCTTGAGAAGCGTGCCACTCTCTAGGTTTAGGGTAAACCTAGGGCTGACCGGGCCTCTAAACAGGATTGGGCCTTGTTGGCCGGTTTTCCCATTTGGCATGGGTGGACACGTGGCGTGTCTCAATTGGTCCGTAGAGGACGTATCTGTGATTGACACGTGGCAGGCTCCTATTGGCTTACATGAAGGACACGTGGCGGAACCTGGTTGGTCCACTTGTCAGACGGTGATTGGTGGATAAAAATCCCCTAATCATTTGCCCCTCACAGGTGGCACGTGACTGGTCACGTGTCACCTGTGACAGGTGCCGCACGGTGACAGGCGACGGCCTGCTACAGGTGTCACCTTGCAAATGGCCGAGAGATTTTCCCGCCCAAATTTTGAATTTGGAAGCGACCCTTCGCCTTCTCACTTTGCCTATATAAGGAAGTGCTGACTTCGGTCATTTTCACATTTGAGAACTTTGCGAGAACATTCGGACCCCTGAACTTGCTCTGACATTTCGGACCTTTTCTGCCTACCGCCTGTTCTGACAAGCCGACTGCACCGGATTTCCAGAACTTCATCAACCGTCACTCGTTCAGGTAACTCAGTTCTCTTACTCTTAATTTTCTTTTTATTTTTTGAAATGGCACCACGGAAGCACACGACACGACCTAAGTTAGTGATCAGCCGGTCACCGGGGACGGCTGAATCTAGGACTAGGAGTGCCGCCTGCCCTTTTCTGGACCCATCTTTGCCCTTTATACAAAGTCCGACTGTATCTGTGTCTATGCAGAACGTGATGGCCAGAACAAAAAAGACTGCTATGATCTCAAACTCGGACGGCTCCTCCCAAAGGGTGCTCATTAGTGAAACATCTGACCAGGCGCCAGATGTAGAAGTGAAACGAGGCGGCTGCCAAGCCGACAGTTCTGAGGGAGGGGTCAAGGTGGTCCCTTCCCATTTCACCGTTGATATGTCTAATTTTCCTCCTGCTCCTTCTAAGGGAGAGGAGGCGGGCCCCTCTGGGAGAGGGGAGGAGTCGTCCTCTTCGGACTCGTCAGAGGATGAGTCCGAGTCCAGCTCTTCTGGCCACGCTTCTCCAGGCTCAGAAGAAAGAAACAGCCGCCTACAAGAGGCGAGGCTTTCTCATGCAGTTGAGAAGGGGGACAATTGGGCGGAGCCGTCCGCCTCTTACAGAGAGGAAAACACCCCCTACTACTGCACGGTACCCCGGGGCCGGATCGCAGCCATGCAAGACAAAGTGGAGAGCTTTATAGCTAACCACAGAATGGGCCCCGACTTTCTAGTGTTTGTGCCGGATCCAGAAGACACTGTCGTCTGGCCGGCTGGTACCAGCTATGATGACGGCTGCTTTGGCTGCTATGTGGCGGCCATCAAAGCTGGACTGCGCTTCCCATTACATCCGGCTGTTCAGCGGATTTTAGATGGGTATGATTTGGGGTTATGGCAGTTAGCCCCCAACTCTTGGGTAAACGTACTCGGCTATGTGGCCGGGTGCGAAATGTACGGGGTGGAGCCAAGCTTTGAGGCTTTCGCCCACATGAACTATCTCAGCCGGACCCCTAAGTCGGGAGGTACCGGCTGGTATCAATTAACAAGCCATAGGGGCTACCTCATGACGAGAGGTAAGGCGAACAAATGGAAGGATTGGCGGAACACCTTCCTTATTATCGAGGGTTCAGACACGGAGCTGAACAAACGCTTTAACAAGTGGAATAGGGATCCGCCTCTTCTCGCAGGCGGCCGCAGCATGCCGCCTGTTCCCCCAAAGGCTAAAAAAGAGATCCTAGACAAAGGACTCTTCAAAGTAGAGACTAGGGTGAACTCTACTTCAGGGGTACGAGAGCAAGTACCCCTAAACTGCGTCCCGAGCTTCAAGTGGCTCTATGACGAGTACTTTTTGGCCGCCTGTGGCCTCAGCAGTCGGTGCTCTAGAGGTAGCCGGCCTGACAAATACTCTGTTTTTTCACGCCTTGTTTACTTGGGATCTTTACTAACTTTGCTGTTTATTTTTTTGCAGCTGACGCCATGAGTAAAATAACAGCATCCAAGACTGCGGCGGCCATGTTGCGGGCCTCTCTCATGCAACAGTCTTGTACCGACTCCCCCAACAAGGGGGCACCCTTGGTAGGCTTCGAAACTTCCTCTTTTAGGAGTTGTCTTATGCATATACTAACTCTTTTTTTTTTTTTTTTTTTTTTTTTTTTTTTTTTTTTTTTCAGTCGGGCACTCCAAGAGCTTCTTCCTCGCAACAGCCGGACCCCAAGGCCCGGAGGACGACTGTTGCAAGCTCTCCTGGGTCTTCCAGGAAAACAGTGGCGGCTGAGAAGCAGCCGGCCACTTCTTCTAAAACCCCGGCGGGGCCGCCTAGAAGTATGGACAATTACTTGTAAAAACTTTTACACTTGCTTCCTTCTTGACTAGGTCTAACTTGCTTTTTTACGCTTGATGCAGCCGGCACTCAGGGGCTTGACTTGGTAGAGGTAGCCAAGTCCATGATCAAAGTAGTTCCTCCATCTGAAAGGGAGACGGTCAGGGGTGTCGGCACCCTTGACCTTGATGGGATTGCAGGGGTCCTTGCTGAGGTATACTCTTTTGAGTATTTGAATTCCAGGACGCCTGTTATCTTTTTTGTTTGGAAACTGACGCCTGTTGTTTTTTTGTACTTAGGCCCTGCTCCGAGTTAACGGCCTTCGCAAGCCGCTTGATCGGAAGAACAAAGAGGTAAAGGCTGCAAAAGCTATGGCCGCCTCTGACTGTGACAAGGCAATGTTTCAAATTGCCCAAAATGAAGTACTGACCATTGATATTCTTTATTATCAGGCGCAGGCTACCGCCGCTGTTCGGGCTCAGTTAGAGGCGGCCCAGAAGAAGAATGACGAGCTGGAGGCGACCATCACAAATCTTAAGGCCGAGCTGAAACCTCTTCGCCAAAAAATGTACTCTTACGAAGCCATGGAGAAATCCTTCCTGGTGAGCCAAGAGAAGAGTCTTACCCAAGAGCTCTCGGAAAAGGCCGAGCAAGAGAAGAAAGAGCTCGTCCGGGAGATGATGGAAGACTCCGCTCAAATCCAGCGCATGACCTGGGGCCGCCTCTTCCCCAATGCCGACTTTGCCTCTTGGGAAAGAACGTACCGCCAGTGTTCGGAAACATATAATCAAGAGATCCTGGCGGCTGCTGAAGAAGAGGCGTTGGGAGAAGCGGAGGAGGAGGAGGAGCCGGTTGTGGCGCTTGTGCCACTTGGGGGTAAGGCATCAAAAGAGGATGCAGCTGAAGCCGAGTCCAGCAAGAAGAGTGCTGACCAGGCGGCAGCTGCTAATACTGAACTGCCCCCTTCTTAAGCTTAATGTATTTTATCCACGGCCTGCGTGCCGTTTGCTTTGTATTTACCCGGCCAGGGGGCCGGGGCTTTGAATATTTTGCTGGTCTTTAATGACCGGCTTATTTTTAATGAATTTTTGTTTTGCTTCAAATTTGTCCAAGTATTCCATATCTAATATCCCATTGTTTACTAGACCGACTGTTGTACATGGCCGAACGTTGCAGACAGGTACGGATAGTTAGTACGCCGCCTATGCCCATGGACGACTGGTTGTTTGTTTCCAGGATAGACGATCAGTCGACCATTTATTCAATCGGTATTCGAACTATTTTGTCTGGATCCTTTTTAGGCAGGCGTGCCTGTCTTTTTGTAATTTTAACCAAGTAGGAAAGTGGTCTGACCAAGTAAATAGAGTATTACCTAGTCGCCAAGGAATTTAGTAAAGATAACAAGCGGCGGGTACCGGTTGTTTCCCTTTATTGCCAATGTTGTTGGCTTTTAACTCATAATTTGTTAACTTAGCAAGAGTAGTGGTTGAGAGCCCCTGTTTGTTAAAAAACAGGCGGACGACTCAAAACTTTTTAGGCTCCATACTAAGTTTGAGTGACTATTAAGTTAACATAGGAGTTACTTAGTCTTCGTCACAATCTAGATTGAGTAGTAGAGGTACCAGGCGGCGGAGGCCGGCTAGACCCCTTGATTCGCCAATGTTTGTTGGCTATTAACTCAATAGGTACCCCCTGCATTTATCCCAAGTAATACGGGCGGTCATCTGACTCAGATGTCAACTGCTACCACTGGTTTGGTTAGTGATAGAGTTATCCTTGTCTCAAAAACGGCTACGTGGTTGCCCTTGGGGACAGTCGTATAGGTGCCGTGTAATTAGTTTATAGAACAATGTTCCACCCAAAAGGGAGCTGCTCTCTGCGACGAATTTCATCCGGAGGGATGCCGTCGGACGCCTGCTATGATGTTGGGACAGGTCGTATTAGTTTTGTAGATTTGATCAGTTGGCTTAGCGCCTGGTCTGATCATTCGGCCTGTGGCCTTGGTAAGTTCTTGGTGAACGTAGGTGCTAAGTAAAAGAAGGGTAGCCGCCTGTTAGGCACAGGGTCGGCCAGGCCCTAATCTTTTTAGCTAAGTATTGTGAGTAAAATACTCAATGGAGAGTAGCCGACTGTAAAGGTACAGACGGCATGCCCCTCTGAAGATAGAGTGAAAAACTCAATGGAGAGTAGCCGACTGTAAAGGTACAGACGGCATGCCCCTCGTAATACAAAATTGAATAGTAAGTGCAAACTTTTATTAAGTAGCTCTTTACTTTACATCATTCAGAAGAAATATTTTTTAAGATTATCTACATTCCAAGTTCGAGGCAACGGTTGTCCGTCTGGTGTTTCCAGACGGTAGGTACCGTCCCTGACTTCCTCATAGATTCGGTAGGGTCCTTCCCAGTTGGGAGTTAGTTTGCCAGACTCATTAGCCCTACCAACTGCTTCCATTTTTCTAAGTACAAAGTCCCCTACTTTGAGTGGACGCCTGTGTACTTTTTTGTTGTATGATCTAGTCATTCTCAGGCGATAGATCTCATGGCGCAAGACAGCATTGCCCCTCTTTTCAGGAAGTGAGTCTAATGCCAGGTGCATGGCTTCCCAGTTTGCCTCTTCGTCATATAGCATTACTCGAAGAGTCGGCTCGTAGTGTTCTATTGGAAGAACAGCTTCCGCACCGTAAGTTAGGAGGAATGGAGTTTCTCCAGTCGCCCCTTTTTCAGTCGTCCTAATGGCCCAGAGAACATGTGGTAGTTCATCCGCCCATAGGCCGCCTGCTCGTTCAATCTTTTTCTTGAGACCGTCTGAGATGATTTTATTAAAGGCTTCTACCTGGCCGTTTGCTTGTGGACGGCCGACAGATGCAAAGTAGTTTGCAATTCCTTGGTCTCCCAACCAGCTTTTGAGAACAGGCGACTCAAATTGGGGACCATTATCAAAAACCATAGACATGGGAACCCCGAACCGAGTGATGACATTTTTCCAAATGAATGAAATTACATCTTTCGTCTTGATTCCCTTTACAGCCTCCGCCTCTACCCATTTAGTGAAGTAGTCAACGGCAACAAGTATGTACCTTCTGCTGCCTGTAGCAGGCGTATATGGACCCAGAGACTGGTCACGTGTCACCTGTCACCGTGCGGCACCTGTCACAGGTGGCACGTGACTGGTCACGTGTCACCTGTGACAGGTGCCGCACGGTGACAGGCGACGGCCTGCTACAGGTGTCACCTTGCAAATGGCCGAGATTTTCCCGCCCAAATTTTGAATTTGGAAGCGACCCTTCGCCTTCTCACTTTGCCTATATAAGGAAGTGCTGACTTCGGTCATTTTCACATTTGAGAACTTTGCGAGAACATTCGGACCCCTGAACTTGTTGTTTTCTTAAACTACGTGTCCACCCCAACGTCCCAAGTATTATGGGACGGAGGGAGTACAACAGCCAGGGTTAGGAGAAAGAAGGATAAGTTCAGTGTCTTTTCTAGTTAAACCTAAGGGCATATACTACCGCTGACCAACTAAAGCTAGTTGAGACAACGAGCTAATTTCAGAGTTAGCAGATACCTAGAATGAATGAAAAAGAAAAAACAAGACAAAGTAATAGTACCAAGAACACAAGCACATGACTCACAAGCGCTAAAAAAGGCTGAAAGGAAATGAAAGTCTCATAGCAACAGTAGGCCACAAACCTTAGCTTTGAAATGCTTCATGGAGTCATCCTGCCGTACTAAAATACCTTCAACCATGCCCTTCAAGTAAATTTGCAGGATCTCAGATTGTGATTTTGCAACCAAAACCTTAAGTAGACCCAAATTAGCCTGAAGCAACACAATCATTCAAAATAAATATCCCTACGAATCAAATTACCGAAAAAAAAAAAAAAAAAAAAAAAAAAAAAAAACAATGGTCAAACAGTTTAAATGGTCAGTTAAACAGGACATACTTTGATGATCTCTTTATCCTCCCTCTTAAGAAATAAAAGTGAGGAGGTAAACAGATTCCATGTAGTAGAAAGACAATCGGAAAATTCATAAGCCAAGCGAGCCAACCCTTTCACAGTTGCACTGATCATATGCGAACTATCGCTGGCAAGGCCTGCTGCTACCTGTTCAAATGAAAGAGCCCTAAAATCATTTCGAAGTAATATAGGAAAACAAGTCTATTTTTTAGGCAGATATATGTCAAAGTGTAATTTATGAAAAATTGTAATTTTCCTTTACCACACAACTCTCCCTTTTTCACAACTCACTACTCATTTCTCCCTAGAAACTTCTGCCCTACACATTTTTAAAAAAAATTATTTTGATATACCTTCCAAAAATGTCGAAATATTACCCACGAAAATTACATACACAGTATTCACATTAAACCCTTCTCTATTTAATAGTTCAATATCATACTCTTATTGATAATTTCATAAGAGAAGTCAGGCTGAGATCTATGCAAAAGCACTGCAGGTGGAGACCATGTTTAGGATTGAAGGATTTGAAGAAAGTAGAATATTTTGAAAAGGATAAATAAAATGGCAGTTGTAGATATTGAAGGGGGGAAAGGGCATTTTACTGAAAGTTAAGGATTGATTAGATCAATTGAGATTTTTTTTCCTGCTTTTGCTGCATTGTTATTATCTTGATTTCATTATTTATTTATTTTTGTAACATGTATTAAAGTTAAATACGACTTTTTCTATTTAAAAAAACAAAAGTAATAATTAAAAAAAAGAATCAAGCCGAGCCCCATCGGTTCTGCAACCAGTTCAATATATTAAACCCGATTTGGCTGGTTCCGAGACTGGTTCCAAATTTTCAGACCCGGCCCTGACCGTTTACCCCAAGCAAATACTTCAATAGAGCGGATCATAAGATGAAACTAGCCATATGGTGAGTATAAAACAAAATAAAAACAAAATGAGGTACTCCAAAAAATGATAAGAGTAGCCTTTCAAAAAAAAAAGAAAAAAAAATGATAAGAGTAGCAGCGAAACTACATACGTTATCAAAGACTTGGAGTAAGTTCTTCTTTTTCCCTCCCTGCTCCTCCTTTTTCCCTCCCCTCTCCTCATCACAAGCATGACCAATCTGGACTAGAATATCATAAGCCCGATTTCTGGTTTTCTTATTAACCTGCAAATAATTTCAAAATTGGCATTCAACCTACGAATTCTACTTGAGAAAATGACTGAACAAAAGTGCGAAGATACTAGGAAGATATGCCATCAGGAAAAAGCAAAAATTATACTCCCTCCGGATTTTTTAAGTGAAGTGTTTCTCATGTGCACGTATGCCAATGCAAAAATTAAATAAAAAAATATCTAACTCGACACAAACTAAACGGGTTAGGTTTGGGTTGAAATTTTCAACCCGAAACCGACATGCATAACCCGATTATATAAATGGGTTGAACGATAACTCGTTAACCCGTACCCAATACGCTTAACTCAATTATTAAGTAGTTAAAAAAAGTGAAATTTTTTATTCTTAACTTGTAGTTTTGTAAAAAGCCTTGGCGCCAATCATAAATTTTGGTAACTTTTTGGGGGTTTAATTAGGTAGTCAAATTAAAAAATTTAACTTTTCAACATCTAACATTTCCACTTTAGACTTACTTTTAGAGGGTTTTAGAGACCTAGCTTAGTGTCTTACCCTTAGTCTTATTTAACATTTTCACCTACCTTCAGTTCATCAATTCTCACGCCATCTTCCACCTCCTTCAAGCTTAAATGAAGCAAGCGCAATTAAGCAAACTCAACCATATATGTAAATTAATTTCATGGATAGGAAATTAAGGGAATTTGATAACTAATGCATGTTTTAGTAGTTGACAGTTTGTAATTTTGAAGGTTGGGACAATTCTTATGTATTGGTTTTGTTGCTAAAACCACTTTAATTTTTGACAGTATGTTGAATATTAATTAATTTATTATATATTATGTGGGTAAAAGGTTACCCGGATAACCTGTTTAATAAACGAGTTAGGTTTGGATCAAGGGTTATCAACCCGTTTAATAAACGGGTTATGTTTGGGTCAAGGGTTTTTCAACCCGTTTAACATTGACACGAACACAAACCCGACACGACACGACCCGTTTGACAGCCCTAGTTGGAAGTAAACCACTATTTCAAACTTCTTATTACCAAACACTTCTAAAGAGCTTATTGCAGCAGTCAAACCACTAGTGAGGCACAAAATGCTTTTTTTTTTTTTTTTTTTTTTTTTTGCTGAGTTCGCTTACCAAACACCCCCTAAAATATGTTATTAGCTTTTCTAATTTGCATGAAAATACTCAAATAGTTTTAGATACTTTGATTTTTGCACACATCGTGTGCATGAAAGCAAATTAGTATAAAGTTAACAGTTGTCAAAAGTTTCAGAACAATTTTCCAAGTTCTCATACCTCAGCCAGGATAATTCACATAAAATTATGAGCAAAGCAAAACTAGAAAAATTTAAATTAAAAAAAGTAATAATAATAATTTTCAAATGGTCAAACCCACAAACAAAAATGAGAAAGGTTTTGTGGAACGAATGGAAATTATTATAGTAAATATAAAAAAAAAAATAGGAAAAAAAATCAGAACAAAGTAAAGACCATGAAAAAATTTTAATTCCAAAAATGCAATTTCATAAAAAAAAAACATACCTCTTTCAGCGCAAGTACAATTTCAACTATGAAAGGACTGATTTTACCCCATCCTGCTTCATCCTATGGAATAAAAATAGAGTAAAAAAAAGATAAATTATTTGATAAATATAATTTAGTCCATCAATCTCCAAAGTTTCTTCACATGTGGGTTCAGCATGGAGAATAATACTGGTAAAATCAAAGTACCAGAAGTGAATAGAAAGGGGAAAAAAAAAAAGTAAAGTGAAAGTAGTGAGAAGGAAAGAAAAAAAGGATTTGGAGAGGATACATATAAATTATTATGGGATTGTCATCTTCAACCCAAATTGTAGTATTATAGAATTTGGACAACCGATCAAGGAAAATGTGAAGTAAATCGAGGATGAAGGGGATACATATAGCTAGCATGTAGAGTTTAAGGAAAACAAATCAAACCTTGATCACATGGACAATAACAAAATACAAACAGTCAAGCCTATGACGTTTGGCTGAGAAATGGCATTTAGAGTGCACTTCAATCATCAACTTGCGAACTTCTTCAATCTTCCTCGAGATAAACCCATCCAAATTCTACCAGCAAACCCAAGTCAAATGAACAGTTTAAAAACTGACTAGAAAAAGATCTTTATATAGCGAAAAAAATGAACTTTCATTCTAAACAATTACAAACTCAGCTTACGTCAATCGTAAAAATAGTAAATAGAAGTAGAAATAAATTATCTCCCTATTAATCAGAAACAAATGCTAAAAAGCATCATATACCTCCTAGCCAATGATAAACCCACTTCAAAACGCTTATTAACGGGCACTTTTCATTTTTGAAGCATAAAATCCTCAATATTGTTGTGGCAGATTGAATAAATTAAATCTGTAAAGAGATTAAATTCACCTTGAGAATCATTGACAGAACCTTGTACGCCTTCTTTTGGATCAAGCTATCGCTCATTATATCAAAGATGCATCAGACATACCTCACAACCAAATCTCAAAGAAAACTACAGTGAATATAATGAAATGATCAAATGATCATATATATTGGTGAATCACAAACCTCCAGTGCTGGAATTATGGTGGAAAACATGATATCAGTATCCTGAGGACCCAAACCAGGCAAAAGTGAAACAGCCAGATCAAAATGCTGAGCTCTGCCAGTATAAAAAGAAGAAATGAGGAATTATCATTATAAACATAGATGAAACCGTGAACATAACACACTGGTAGGAGCAAACAGGGGAAATTCACCTTTTGGCTTTAACAGAAAAGACTTCCAAAAAAAAAAAAAAAAAAAAAGACACACTACTCACAGAAAAGACAAGTAACACACCTCTTGCAAGAAAATGAATTATCACCGGATGAAAAGTCAGTCTCCATTGAATCTCTTTTATTACCATCATCAGTGACCTTCAAAAGTTGTTTCATTTCTTTCCTAAGTAATTTTGACACGGTATTTTCACCCGCTATTGATGCGAATTCACCTACTGTAGACTAGAATCAAACCAAAGCTAATGTAAGTTTCGAGAAGCATAAAAAAATTATAAGCAAACAAATTAAAGAGCAATGCATACTTGCATAAATCATTTGGTATACCAAGACTGGACTATAGTTTGTACCACAAATCAATTATTACTGGTCCAAGAAAGAAAGTCTAACTTCAAGAAGAGGACTCTAGGCTCCAATTACTTCAAAAGAAGGCATCACTATCCTTAGAAAACATATGAACCCATGAGGAGAATGGCAGCAGTATAAAGCAGATTAATATGTTTTTCTTTACAAGTTAAAAATATAAAAAGTGAACTATCACTCATCAGTTAAGAACCGGCAGAGTCAAGTGAAGCAGCCAGCAACCCATAGGGCCATAGTAGACAGTTAATTTGACAAGGAAAGTTGGGAAAAATTAATCCAATAACCCATAATTTCCCACTTCCCAGCATTTATACCAATTTTTATTAGATTTATCCTAATACTGATGAAAACATCTAGGATCTGAATTCTAATTTTGCTTACAACATTAAAGTTATCACTGCTTTAACACAACCATGGAATTAAAACTCGGCCGTTCCGTTATATAACGGCCGTTATGTAACAGATTTTGGATTTTCCATTCCGCAAAACCCCGTTATATAACGCCGCGACAAAAATCACATCTTTCACCCCGCGTCATCCGTTCTGTAACGGTGACTCGCCACGTTAGGACGTTTTTTAACCCATTACATCCGTTTAATATATTAGAAATTGATTATATAGTTTATAAAACATGATATTTAGTATTTTTTATTCACCAAACATG